AGGCAATACATCAGGAAAGCCAAACAGCTTCACTCTGGAGTGCAAAATACTCCTGGCACTGCAGATTTTCCATGACTGATTGTCCAGCCTGGCTCAGTATAAATTCAATTTATAGTTCTAAAATTAGGCAGGAGCGGGTAGGAGTCGCCGAGGAATGAAAGGTAGGCTCGCGAAAGCCGTCCCAGTCCGGTAATCATGTATCAGAAGGCGTATTACAAAAATCCATTCTCATGTTGAAGAGCTCCAACACGGCTGATCGGGAAAGATCTGGTAGCTTAAGCCACTCCGCTTAACTGCTCTCGCAGCGTTAAAGCTGCAGGGCCCTGTGCATGGCAAGTTTTCTTGCTAATTGCCTCTTATTCAGCTTCCACAAAGCAAACGGGGTCCAGGTGAAGTTTTTGCCACTGGCGCAATCCTTGAGCTGCAATCCGAGCTGCATGGAAGTCCTGCCCCTGCACAGCTTCCCAGAGGAGCTAACTCCGGGCTCTGAATGAGCCTGACAAACACCACTGACAGTAATGACAGGCTGGGAAAACCACCGAGGAACCAGAAACCACAGAGGGTTATGTTCTCAAAGGCAGGTGTCCAGAGAATAGCCCCAAAAGCTGTAATTGTGCACGACAGCAGGTAGCTAAAAGCACAATTATCTGATTTACTTGGACAGAGGCCAGGGTTGTGAATGTGAGCACGCAGGTCTGCCAGGCTGAGAGAGGATGCAATAGGCAGCCGCCTTTCAAAATCGGGTGTGAGGCTCTCGTACACCAGGCTGCTCTGCCATTTCTTTGGAATAGTGTCGGCAACCTTAGGGTTGTGCCTGGAGATGGGAAGAAATTAGGACAATTGAGTAAAAACTAGTTGTCTTGCTCAGGACACCATGGCCGGAGCTGGCACCGGCAGGTTGGAGGAAGCCACGAGAAACCTGTGGGGAGAGAAGGAGATCTCTGCACTTAGGGCAGCACACCGGCCTGCAGGAAGGAGCTGATTGCCGCAGCACAAAGCACGCGCGCGTACATATAATGTGCACGTGTATGAGACACACGGTGGCAGAGGCTAAGACAACCCTTAGCATCCGGCTTTCCCCAGCATCTCATACCCTTGGTCATATGAGTCTTCCCACCAGGGCTATTCCCATAGGGGCTACTCCATGTGCCTTTTTCTCACCACAAAGAGAATAAGCCAGCTCCCAAGTTGCGGGGAGCAGTAGGGGTGACAGTAGGACATGGAGCTGGTTGAAGTGTTGGGAAAGGCTGGCTGGAAAACTCACCCAGGGAGCCAGGCACTACTGGCCCTTCCCGCTCTTGCCTAAATGATGCCCTTGCTGTCTCGCAGCACCGCTGCATGCAGCCAAGGCTGTCCTGCCTAAGGCAGATGCTCCCTGGAGAGGCTCCAGGGGAGCAGGTTTTTCAGACCCTGCTGGATTTACGGAGACAGGCTGGATGTGTCGTGGCAAGCTTGCCTCCCCATTCAGGTCTGTCCTCAAAATAACGAGCTCCCTCCCAACACCGAGGCTCTGTTTGGAAAGTGCACTTGTCACTTTGAAATATGGCCAGTCCCGCTTCGATGGCGCGCCTAAAGGCTCCCACTCCGCACGGTGTCGGTGCAGCATAGCGGGGGTGAGTGGGCATATATTACCCTGACAGCTCCTCAGAAAGGGCTCGCGCTGTAAAAGAAATCACTGTTTGGAGGAGTGAGCCTCCTCCTGCGGTACTCTGGAGTCTGGTCTTCGTCAATAAATCTCCCTCAATAAATCCTCCTTGGCCATGGAGCCAGTGGTCTGAGGAAACCCGGAGCCGCTGGAGGTACCAGCCATCAAGGGAAGCTCAGAGCCCAATGCGGACTGACATCACGGTCAGCGTGTGGCCACGGGGAAAGAAAACAGAGCTCCTGCACTTTGCAGAGAGGTCTGTATTTTCCGAGCAAGCTTGGAGGGACCGTAAGGGCTTCTTCTTGAGAAAATGTGTTCTTGAGTCTGAACGTGAGCCCGGCACTCAGGCCAACCTGGCCAGTCCGAGCAGAAAGCAGGCTGGACTCTGTGCACGTAGCAGCCGTCGTCCCGGATTGCAGCCGGGCCCTGCAGAGTTAGCAGCGAAGGATGCAACTCTCATGTACCGAACTTCACTCAACAGTGGCTTTCAGGAAGAGATGCGCATGCGGCTGACACCAGGTCGCTACCGAATACGGTTACGGAGATTGAGCGACCGCACGATGGATCTGTTCCTGACTCCATTTCACGGTTGCTAATTCCAAAGAAGTCTGTTAATGATACGAGCCGCTGCACTGGCAAGCTATGACAGTGTCCCACGCGGTTTGGGTGTGGGACATACAGGTGCACCAAGATCCCTTTCCTTAGAGGAGGGGCTTTTTACTACCGTGGGAAGTAGCAACAAAAGAAATTGATTTTTTTTTTTTTTAAGTTTTCTCAAGGCACGGTGATCCCTCCTCCATTTTTTGGGCTAGCTGCTGATAAAGCAAGGAGGCTGGTGTTCAAAAAGCCTGGGCATACAGCTGAATGTCTCATCTGTGGGTACAATCGCTATGATCTTTTGTTATGCATCTTGTCGCCACAGGCACATGCAGCTACGCATCCATTTTGCCTATGCATCCATGGTCACTATACCCCAACTGCACGTATCATTTATACTCACAGGCAAATGCCAAATCTATTAAAAATGAGGCCCTTCTCAACTTCTGGCTCCAGTTGTGCCTGCATAGCTGATAGAGTGCATCTGTTTTATGAATGCAGACAAATGCACGTGCAAACCTGCAACAGGAGTGAAACAGGAAACCCGCTGTGCATGCAGTGCTAAACCTCGGTGCATGATGCTGCAGGACAGCTTGAAGCTGCAAAAGCGATACAGCCCTCACAAACAATGTCAATGCTGGTCTTTTCAAAAATACAGATAAACCCATGCACTCTGCACACAAGCACGTGTATGTGTATGTATTTCAGTAACCTGCGATCTGTTCAGGCCTGCGTTCCTGTTAACAAATTCACCGTATTCTGAATGGGACTGACTGTAGATGAGACCAAAATCTAACTTTTCAGTGGAAAAAGACTAATTTATCCCGAGCCATGTACTGATCCTGGAGAAAGCTTATGTCTGCATCTCTTTCCCAACACCCCTTTTCTCAGTTTTGGAAATCTACTGAGATGATCACTGAGTTTATCACTAAACTAAAATAAATCCACGACTACCTGAGAACTCGGCGGTTGTTTCCGAGTGACAGGGGAGCCGGGCTGGAAGCTGATGCCCTAAACCACAGGCCACTGCCCCTTAATGTAAAGAGAAATCTCCCTTGGTTTTACAAGAAACCCTATTGATCGGCCCTGATTCTGTCCAGCAGAACTGAGGCAACCAAGGAATTGGCCTGCTGAAAAAAAGGAAAGGACTTCGGCCAATATCTATCTTTAGTGGCTACAGGTTCATGGGTTAACTTGCAGATTTGCTCTAATGTTTACAGCCGGTAACTCCTGAGGTTGTGACCACTGAAATTAAAATAAATCAACAGTTTGCTTGGTGGGTCACTTTGTCTATTGGCTAGGACTCAGTGGGCCCATCTACACAAGATGCTAAATGCTCAGTAGATTTATTCTACTGTGCATTAGCATCTCACGGCAAGCCGTGCTAATGTGCTGATGGACAGTACAATTAGTCTACCGCGCATTAGCATCACTAAAAAGCTGTGAGCCAGCGCTATTGCGCAGGAGCAGCAGTTACTGCACATTGAGTTAGTACTTGTTATTACAGGTCCTAAACTTAATGTGCATTAACTACAGTGCATTAATGCACGTGTAGACACACCCAGTGTCTCCCAGGTTGTACTTGCCCTTGGAAAGGGGGTCATTTTCCCCTGCCTCCCTTGCTTGTGTGGGTCGTTGAACAGAGGAGAAGAAAAGCACTTGTTAAAACTAGGGCTGTAGTGTGTTGAGGATGCTTAGCTGGCACCACACCACAACCCACCTCTCCATATGCCTGCAAGGTGAGACGTGTTAACAGAAAGGCCAAGTGACAGATGGAGCAGAGAGCTGAACCCCGATGCTGCAAGTGTCCTGACTGCTGAGCCGCCCAGGTACAAATACCTCAATATTGCTAGTGGAGCGGAGCAGCAAGGCTCTGTCTGAAACAGCTTTTCTTTCATGGTCTTAGAAACTGGTTAGGATAAAAGGGGATGCAGTCTCTTTGCCATGCAGCTTCCTGGGCCGTGTTGGCCATTCGTTTAGTCTTTCTGTGAAATGGAGCTGTTAACACTTCCTTCCCTGTCTCACTGGGGCATTTCTGAGGCTGAATTCACTAACCTTGGGGCTGTTTTGCAATCCTCCGATCAAAAAAGGCACAGAAAACCAGGGTTGACTTTGTGTAATTAGTCTGCTTCACGGCAAAGGTGTTTCAGACTCCTTCTGTGGAAAACAGGGAGGTTAGAGGCTTTTCAATCTTTTTTTTTCACTCTGATTCTTCTGGCAGCAATGATGCCCCGGGCTCACTAACCTGCACCTCCCAGAAAGGCATGTGAGGCCCATTCAGTTGGCCTACTAGGAGATGCCCTGCCTTTTCTGGTCTCAGTCATTAAAAGGGCAATGTAAATTCAGCCTCCCTGCCAGTCCCTGGGTTTTAGCTTAGCCCAAAATAGGTCTCCCTTTCCAAGCCCTCATTTTGCACAGAAATATAATTCCAGATCCAATTTTTAGAAACAGTTCATTGCAGGCATGATCTATATTAGTTCACAGCCCTGGTTTGTATCTTCAAGTACAGCTGGCACCTGCAAGTGAGGACTACCGTTGCCAAATTGCACCTGTCATCATTTCCACCCACAACTTGTGAGTGCAAAATAGAAAAGAGAAGCCAGGCTTTGAGGTCTGACCTCTGGAACATGTGCCCTATTTGTAATGCTTTAGGAAAGATTTGGCTGTCTGCGTATCAGCTTGTGCAATTATTTTTTTTTTAACCTTTGCAAAATCACAAAACTTACATGGGGCTTTTCATTGTGTGCTTTTATCTCAGGCTGAGACATAAAAGATAAAAAAGGCACAATCCGGACCTGAAAGCAGAAGATTTGCACCCAAACCCGGGCTTCTCATATACCCTTGAACATGAGCACAGACAGCTTTGCAGAGTTCCTGAACAAGCTCAAGGAAATCCATGAGAAAGAGGTCCTCGGTAAGGAGACACTCAAGAACATTTGTTGAAAGGGGCAAAACAATTTCTTTCTAAGAAGTAAGTGCGCAAACAAAGTCAGACTCTCCTGTCTAGCTCCAAATAACCTAGAGAGGGAGTAAGTCTGCTGAGCCTCAGGCATGGGAAAGGAGCCCCCAGCTCAACAGTCATTTCCTTCTCAAGTATCACTAATTGGGGGGCAAGGAAGGAGGGTTAGATCGCAGCCCCGAGGCTGGAGGTCTGGGGGCAACTTGCTGTTTTAGGAGCTTTAGCTTTCCAGACATGCTGGGATGTCAGCCTGACCACACAGAGGGGTCAGTGCCAGTGTATTCGCCCTATAATGTGGCCGGGCTTGCCAAACAGAGCCTGGATGGCATGTGCTCCTGATCGAACCCATCAGACCGTATGCCTTCATCCTGAATTTTTGGCACGGAGCATGCTGTAGAAATCAGTAACTCTGCACCACTAAGGGATACGGGTGTCTGTTTTCCTATTCCCAAACATCCTTCCACAGGGTATGATATAGTGTCATTCCCATAAAGGATGCTCCAGAGCGGTGCACGGCAACCGAATGCTCCCACTCAACTAAAACACCGAGGATGCTACCGCCCTCACTCTCCTGCTGCCTGCCCTGGGTTCATCCCCAGTCTCCTGTGTGCAGCTGTCAGCCCCTGAGCTGTCAAACTGGTCTGGGCTAACACAGCTAGGGAGTAATGAAAGCCTTCGCAGGATAATATAAATAGGAAGCCGTTTGCCTGTTAGGCAAGTGGGTAATACTTTTGGATACTAAATAGTCAATGAGAAAGTAGAACTTGAGCAGAATGATGGGGGGTGATGTTTTTCCCCCTCTAGAGAATGAATAGTACGTGTGTTCAAACTCAGATCATCAAGAAAAAAAACCCAACAAAACAATTGCTGTCATATTAGAGTCATTTCTAGCCTATGCTTTTCTGATAAACTGTTGCATTAGCCACTGTTTTAGGTTATAAGTACAGTCTTGCCCTGAGTAATCCTAGCCCATGTGATGTTTTGGGGTAACTCCAACCCCAAATCTAGGTTTTGCATAACCAGTTGTAATGCGAAACAGATCTTGCAAAAAGTGAACTGGAGTAGTGTGCTCTCGCAGTCCAAGAGGAAAGAAATTCAGATATGTTCAACAGTAAAAAGGAAACAGGAAAAAGCAGGTTTTTTAAAAAATGATTCAAGGTATATTCGGCTGGTTCACTAAACTCACAGCACGGGCAAGGAAACTCACTTTCTAGTAAGGAGAGTTTTAAACCGACCGTGTCCCTTTAAGTTACCGTGCTTTCCCAGAAGTTAGAAGAAAACGTTCTGTTTCTGAAATGTCCCATCATTAGCAATAAATACTTATCTCCTGAACCCCCATTAATTATTCCAGGCCTGCAAACAAAGCTAGCAGAGCTGACAACCCAGAAGTGTCGGTGAGTAAGGCGGTTTCTGTTCCCGTCTCTGTGCTGAGCGGGGGGGGCTGTGTTATATATTTCTACATAGGAATGTTAAAAGGCACCTTTCCCGGGCTCTGGGTCCTCTCAGCATCCATTAAATCAGCACAAAGCATACTAGAAAGACAAGCCCAGCAGCAAACTCGCCATCTTCGCTTCACTCCGGTCCACAAAGCAATCGACAGTGCCCTGACAGTGGGCAGGTCTTGAATCACTCACTTCTCCAGGCAATTCAGATTAACCTGGGAGCCCGCTCAGCAGATGTACTGATCGCAGCTTTGAAAAAGCACGAAAAGCCCCTGTTTGTAACTCAGCCAGCCAGGGGCTTCCCTCCTCACCAGTTTCATGCAGCCTGTGTCCTCTGTGCAGCCCAGTGCCGTGGGGTGGAGGTGGAGAACCTTGCAGTCGCTGTGCCGGAGTCTCCATTGCTTTTTGTGTAGCTAGCTGTGTTATTTACTGCATCAGTTTAAGGCTGAGTAAAAAGAACTTGTGTTTTTAAGTCTTAAAACACAAATAACCCCATTATCTTGCACTGGGCAAAACGATTCCCCCTTGCATTTAGTTTTCCGTCACACAACGGACCAAAATCTCCTTCTTTGCTCTGCTTGCAATACGTAGCTTGGCAGGATTCCCTCCAGGCCTCCCCAGGTGGATGTGCATTTCCCACATGGTTTGTTTTATTTGCTTGGGAGGTGCCTCACAGGAAGCAGGAGTTTCCAACCTGGGGATCCTAGCCTTCAGGCTAGCTGCCAGGGCATCACAGCCAGGCAGTGCCAGGCTGGTGTCAGGGCATCACAGCCTCCTGCCCCTCTCCTCAAGCAAGGTGGGAGCAGCGTTCTCAACTAGATGAGACTGACTCCCAGATTTCTTTTGTGTTGAAACATGAGGCCCTGGGAGGTGGAACTACTGGTGCAAAGTATTATAGGCAGCACCAGTTGTGACACCTCGCAGCAAAGGGTGTCTGGCACTTCCCGTTTTAAAACCATGTCTAGTCGCTGTCCTATCCCCAGTGTCCACCAGGCTCCTCCAGAGCACCGAGTCCACTGGCATGTAATTAAGGACTGTATCAATTATGAATATGCAGAGAGCGGCCAAATTAAGGTTGCACAGACAGTTTTGCATTGCCTAATGACTGAGTGCCTGGCTTTGTCACCATAGCATTCCCTGAAGGTGGGGTTTCTGTCTGTTGTACATGGCAGGGAGATGGTACCCGGAGATAGTATCCAGTGACAGTATCTCCAGCTTACTCCCTGGAGCCAGCCTGTAATACCTGTGCATGCCTTGCCCTCCAGCATACTGACTTCCCCGCACAAGCAAGAGCGTTTTAGTGATAAGAATAGCATGAACTGCATGACCCAGGTGGCCTATAAATCCTTCCTCCTCCCAAATTGAGAAGAAAGCAACAGGGCTTAGGAGACAAATCCAGTAACTTCCTTGCTTTGTCCTGTGCTGTCTCCTGACTTAGAGATGCCCAGAGAATCGAAGAGCTGTTTGCTAAAAACCACCAATTACGGGAGCAACAGAAGGGCCTTAAAGAAAACATTAAAGTTTTAGAAAACAGGTAAGAGTTGTTTCTGAACTGTCTGGCAGCCACACCTACCTGGAGCTTGCTTTCCAGCAGCTCTGCAGTGAGTGGGCTGTAATACAAAAGCCTCTCTTTTCTTAATAAGTGGTGTTGCAATGCAAAGCCGCCAGAGCCTCGAGCTACTAAAATTTCTAGCAGCCTGAACCAGGACGTTCCTGCCCCAGCAGACGTCCCACTAACTCAGCACCCAGTTCAGGAGCTGTCCCCAGCTGGGAGTAGTGTAGACAGCCCCGCTCCCCTCTGCCCTGCAGTTCAGCAGAGTTTATGGATGCATGCGCGGCACCGTGCCGACCTGGCTGTATTCCCTCTGGTTTACGAGGCAGCGTAGCCAGACGCAACACAGCCCCTTGCAGTGTTGCAGCCAGGAGCAGGGTCTGGCCACAGAGTATATTAAACTCTCTTCACTGGGGTCATCTTCCGCTGTGTGCAGAGGGAAGGATCATGCACCCTCCACCTCGGTGCAAAGGCTCATAAAGCAGAGGCATGGGGTAAGGGAGGATGAATGCTAGCTCCTTATGTGGTTTTGATACCATGAGAGGAGAGGGGTCTGGCTGCTGTGGGAGCTTGCTGCCAACCAAGCTTCTTAGCCTGGCTTCTCTGTTCAGGTTGCGAGCAGGTCTCTGTGACAGATGCATGGTCACCCAGGAGCTGGCCAAAAAGAAGCAGAATGAGTACGAGACCTCCCATTTCCAGAGCCTCCAGCACATCTTCATTCTCAGTACGTACAGAGGTTGGATGCCCCTTCAGCTTTGCCTTGCTGGCACTTTGCACATGCAAACGTGTCCACCAGCCATTACCTGCACAGTCCTGGCACAGGCTGGTCCAGGGTGAGCATCTCGGGGCTTGTACCTCGAGCTATCCGGGCCTAAAAAAAAATCGACAATTGCTAAAAGAATGCATTTGGCAGGGCTGAAGCAATGCTCTGCAAAAGACAGGAAGTTTAGAGCAACAGCTCAGCACGGGTAAATGAAAACCAAGCAACACGTATGATTAATCTCGCCTGAGCTCTTGGCATGACTCCCAGCGCTGCACAAGCCTGGGGTGCTTTTCCCTTTCTATCCACATAGCCCTGTGGGGGAGAGGTGGAAGAGGCCGTGCTGGTTTGTTTTGCATTGCTTTGGAGGGAGGGACAGCAAAGTGCCAGCAGCTGCTTGTTTCTTTCCTCATTATGTCTTTGCTCTCCCTGGCTCCCTCGGTCCCAAGTATCACTTCCACGCCGAAGAAGCCAGACAGCGGCAGTATATCTCCTCTGTGCTGCACCTGTCTCCTCTCCCCTGCGCTGCCACTTTGCTGGGAGCAGTCAGAAAGTAGCATCTCTCATCCTAAAGATCCATCTTGCTTTAATTGAAACAAGGAAAGACCAAGCTTCTTTGGAGACGGGTTCTTTCCGTCCCCGGGGAGCACGCAGGTGCATTGTCTTTAAGGCCTCGTGCCAAAGACTGCATTTCTGAATAACCGCTCCTGGCTTCCTCCCTGTCCCAGGGAGAATTGCCCCCAAAGGTGAAGCTGGCAGGAGGGACAGGAGAGACCCCGATGCACTTGACTGATGCTGTGAGGCCAGTCCCTGAGGGCATGCTACCTTCTGGAGGTCCAGTTAGGCCGTCATCGTTTGTATGACATTTGCCCATGCACTGGCAGGGGAGGTGGAGGGAGATGACAGCAGTGTTACTTAAGAGGAGGTAGCTGTAGACATGAGGTCTCTGGGCATATAAATTCCTGCTTTTCCTCAAGGTGCTCAGTGCTAGAGCTCCCTCGGAGGACCCTGAACAGCCTTTGGGAGGCCTGAAGCACTTGCTGCTTGGCCTTCCCAGTGCCATCGCCCTCTCACCATCTGCAAGAGAAGCGGGTTGTGAGGGGCAGTGTCGTGGGAGGTTTCTCCAGCTGCCCTCTGGCCCTGGCAGACCTCAGCTTGGGTGCTGTAATGCCATCCCCTTTGCTTAGACTCAGTCGGGGGCTTTTTTTTAAGCACGTCTCATTATCCTGCCCATCAAGGGCACGCATCTGCAGGACAGCCCTCATCACCCAGCCACTCAGCCTGCAAAGTCTCGGCCAGTCCCCTAACATACGGTGCTCCTTGCCTCTCTCTGCAGCTAACGAGATGAACAGGCTGAAGGAGGAAAATAAAACTCTGAAGGAAGAGCTGAAGCGGTTGCGAAGTCTGGAGTAAGCTTGGGTTGAATTAACTATGTCGGGCTGGCAAGACGGTTCCCCTAAGACAAGGGATGGGTGAGCCAGTGATGCTTCTGGCCCAGATAGTAGAGACGGCCTCCTCAGGCTGGCCGAGTCCTTCTGCACCGTGCTTTTTGTTCCCGGATCCTCCTCCTCCCATTCATTTCAGGGGGTCATTAGGTATCTGGTACCTGTTTCCACCCTGCCTTCACTTCTGTCCTCCCCAGCATGCAAGCTGTTCATTCTGTGCCTCACTGGGGCCAAGTGCGGTTGCTGCTTGGTCCCTGAGGGTGGAGGGAAGTGGGATGGGAGGGGGCCTGCAGGAGACCCCTCACTGCACTGCTAGGGCATAGTGGGGGGGATCCCCTCCTCTGATCAAAAGTGTATTTTGGGTCCCTGGTCTCTGAGGAGACTTGGGGACCCTAGGGCACTCAGTACATGCCCAGCACTCACCTTGCACGCAGCTGCTAGAATAGTAGACCAAAGCCCTGGCCTTGCTGAGGGGAAATAGAAGAAGCCAGGGCATGGTCTTGGATATCACCAGCCTCCAATCCATTCCCATGATGCATAAATCTCTGGAGATACCTATTAAGGTCCAGCACCTCTTGGCAAAACCCTTGGGGCATGCAGTTAGCCAGGACATCTTTACAGGGAGCGGCAGGGCTCTGAGTCAGTAAAACCGAGCTGCAGGAAAGAGATCACATTTCTCCTGATGAAAAAAACTGCCAGGAAGAGAATCCAGGCTGGATTAGGAGGGGAGAGCATGCAAACCACAGCAAGTAATAACCCAGCACAACACCGCGGGGAAGCTCAGGTAACACGTCCAATTAGCCAACACGTACAAGCCATTTTTTTTCCTTGGGGGTTTAAAGTCCAAAAAAAATGATTAGAAAGGGATTAGCACAGAAATGTGTTTTCTTTGGAACTCACACGGTTCTCTCGGTTTAAACAGCACTTTTCCCTATTATGTCCGGCTTCTTTCTTGCCACCCAAAAGGTTTCTAGACCATCTTCTGGCCTGATTTACTGAGCTAGAGCTGTGCAAAGCCATACAGCAAGGCTGCCAGCCCCAACCCCAGCCCTGCTTTGGGGTTTGAAAGCAAATCCCAATCCCTAGCCAGAGCCCCCAGGTTGGCCACAGACCGTCTGGGAAAACTTGGGTCTGTCTTTTGGGTTGCGCTGAAGGCACGCCAGTGTCATGGCTTCCCATGAAACTCTCCAGCAAACATTTTTTTTAAACTTTTTTTTTTAACTTTTCGTGTTCCAAGTCAAACCAGCCAAATCAATTCCAAATCCGTGAATCATTACTGCCAACAAACATCCTCCACACCACCTGGGGCTTCAGGTGCTTCCAGATCCATTGGCGGGCATCCTACATGCAGGGCCAAGCCTGGGAGCTTGGGCTTTGGATGCCCCCAAGTTTCGCTTGCCCTTGGCCATACAGCCGCAGGGGCAAGCGGGGAGGGGTCTCCCATTTCCATAAAGTTGGTGTGTAGCCGAGATCTCTCCCAGAAAAAAGGAGGGGGAGAGTCAGCCGCTCCGGCTGGGTTTTGCCGTGAGGTGCTGTGTTGGTTCACACCCGAATCAACATGCCATTCAGGTGCAATGAGCTGGAATGGAAGGGGTTTTTGTGGTGTGCTAAGCTCGCATCCAGCCTAGTGCTGTCCGTCTCATTTCTCTGCCTTTGCATGCTTTTCATTGCAGCGGTGACAGGGCCAAGCGTCAGCGCTCCCTCTCCAGAGAAAGCAGCTCAACCCCTGACTCTCCCTTGGCTCTGCTCTCCCCTGGGAGCCGAAACGCCGGCACAGACAAGGCAGCTAGCAGAGAAGCAGAAGAGACCCACCATGAACTGCCCAGCCAGGACCTGGAAGAAGGTATGGGCTGCCTGTACCTACGGTGCATACCCCATTGGCACACAGGCAACCCCTCTGTGCACAAATAGACCATAAAGCAGCGCACACGGGACTGCATGCACTGTCACTAGCACCTGCAATGGGTGAGGCTTTCAGGACCTGGCTCGAGCCTAACAGAAAATGTGGCTGCAGGTCATTTAGAAATCCTCATTGGAAAGCACACGGTACCAGGCTGGCTCTTTCCAGCTGCGGTGTATTGATTGATGTCTGTTTTAGCAACCTGGTTGGCCAGGCTTTTTAGGTACACTGCATGCAAGGGCATGGGGAGAAATGCAAGGGAGTCTCCAAAATTCTGGCCAGCTTTGGTGGTGACAGGCCCTGTCCTTCTTTCCAGAGAAGTCTGCAAGACGGAGGAGTTCCCCAGGAAGCAGGATTTCCCCAAGTGCCACTGTCCAAGAAGCCTCTGTTCCAGAAACCGTAAGCTACCAGAGGTTGTCCAGCATCACCAGGCTTTCCTCACCAAGTCTGAGAGTCCTTACCATGGAGAGTTGACTCCAGATAGGCAGCGAGCTGGATGCTATATAGGCCCTTATAACTTGCCCGGTAGATCACTAAGAAAAGAAACCAGCCAGTCCCAGGCCCTGACCCCAATGTTTGACACATGCCTTAACACTGGGCATGAGCATCCAACAAGAACTCGGCTGCAGCTCTCGTGTCTCCGGCTATTGAAGTGAAAACCTCAGCTTTGCTTTCGTGCTTATATTCTGGAAATGTCTCCTAGCATGTCTAGCAGCAGGCAGTCGCTGTCCTGCAACGGCATTCACTCTGCTCCTAATCACACTGCCTCCCCTCTCTGATACATAATTAGGGAACTTTCTTAGGTCTGGAAATGACACGGGTGTTGCCTTTCAGAGAGACCGGGCTCCAAGTGCCTGGCTTTTGACCTTGGATGTCATTCCTAACTACCCATGCCTTGAAAGAGTGTGTTTCAGGAGAGGCATCCTGACTGATCTGGAGCACTGAGCACGGGGTCTGGAGAGTCTGGGAAGCAGAGCACTGTATCTCCTGATGGGAGCTCAAACACACCCGCGTATATTCCCATCCACACATGCTGATGCTTTAACTCTGGCCCTGGAGCCAGTTACCTGAATGCCACGGGAGATGAGGCAAAGCTGCAGGCCAGCTGGGAGAGCAATTAATGATGATGGATGGTAGAAGCTGGTGGTGACATCTCAAAGCAGGAAGGGAAAATGTCAAGTAGAGGCATGTGAGGGCACAGAAAGATGATGCTGCGCATGGAGGTGCACTAGTGCACTGTCTGCTATAAGGCAGTAAACATGGGAGTTGGGATGAAGGACCGGGGCTTTGAAGGATCATATCCTGGGTAAGACACAGAGTCATAGCTCACCTTAGACAGATCGCCTGACCTCTTGGTGTGTAAGTCAGCGCAGCTGGAAAGTAAGAAATAAAGCAGAATCTGCTGGACAAACCGGAAGTGGAGAGCAGCCTTCCCGGGGAAAGAAAAGGCAGATCCTGGCACAGTGCTGCAGCGTCATTCCACTGTTCATTGGGAATTTAGCAACATGTTTGAATTATTAATGTAAATTGATAGAAGAGAAAATGTATTCACTGCTGCAGAGCTTCTCCTTTTGTCATCTTTCTCTGCCTGGTCCCCAGTCAGCAGCAGATCTTTAGATGAAGCTAAATTTCAAGCACATTTTTCTCTTGTGCTTTTAGCCTGCCCAGAGGATAGCAAACCAGCTGCATGGGACCATCGCCTTGGTGAGACCTGGATCCCGGCCTTGCCCCCTCGGGAAAACCTCTGGCGAGACAGCAACGTCACCACCAGCAAGGAAGCCCCTGCTCTCACCAGAGCGCGAGTACAGCCCCAGCCTGGAGGTGTGAGTAGTGTTATCTCAGTGTTGACATCTCTCCAATATCCCACTCTCCTTGGGCCTGATCTAGCTCCCAGCAAAATCGACTGGAAGATTCCCATTGCCTTTGAGGGCTTTGTAGCAAGCTGGTGCACAGCTGGTGGTTTTCTTTAGTTTGCCTCTCGATTAGCTGCATGCCATGTTGCTTCTTCCCACCGTACAGCTATACCCAGAGCATCCTCAGTTACAAACCGAGCACATATAAGTGGTAAGTCAGAGTGATAGGCCGGGACTCAGTTTCCCCAAGCAGAGTACTCTGAGTTCATGTGTGCTTAAGGAAGAAGGCAAGAAGACGCTATCACCCATTCAATACAGCTGGGGTTTGGCAGCCTGGAACTACCCTTTCATCTGCATGGCTTTCCCCCTCTGAGTTTTCCTGTTCCTGTCACCACCTAATGCCACAAATCTCCTCTGTTTCGAACCCATGTAAGACATGTAGGTCCATCACAGCTCCCGGTCTGAAGCTTGGTCTCTAACTCAAGCTATAGCAGCTTACGCTTTTAGCTCAGGAGGTCCCCAGAGGAGCCCTAGGTATGTTGGACAAGAGGGTGACTAATATCAAGTCTGTTTTACTGTAGAGTTGTTTGTGCCCACCTGCCAGTTGGTGGACACACGCTCGTTTTTGCACCAGCAGCTCTAGGCTAGGGGCAACATACCCCAGACCACCTGGTTTCCCCACACACCAGCAGGTTTTGCACAGACATAATGACACTGTGTTGGACCCATGGGGTGGGTGTCCAGCTACACACACAAGTGGGCGTGCAGGTTTTGCTTCGGTATGCCGGGCCAAAGTCATTGCTGGAGTAACCTGGCAGAGATCCATTATCTTCAAAAGAACTGGGCAAGTTTAAACTCAGCAGAGATGCTGGCCCGTCAGCAGCAAGAGCCAGGCGCGAAGCATGGATTGAGGGTGACTCGCTTGGGAACTTGCATCTTTATTTTATTTTACTTTTTTTTGTCTCGCTCAGTTACTTGAGAGCAAGCAAGCCGGATTCCCACCAGGCAGCTTCTTCCTATGAAGCGCTGAAGCTGACCGCACGGAAGGAGCAGCTCTGCCTCCTGAACCAGCACCTGTCCCTGCACCAGCTTGGACTCAGGGGCAAGTGCCCTGCCACCAACAGAAGCAACAGCTGCCCAAGCCCCCTGTTTCGGGCCAGGGAGGCGGAAGGCAGGACACGGGCGCAGGACGAGTGGGAGGATCCTGCGGCCATTTTCGAGCTGCCTGGGGCCGTGGTGTATATGAGGGATCAGCACTTAGAGGGCCAGCTCCAGCTCCTCAAGCACAGGGAGAAGCTGCAGTGCTTCCTGAGCCACCAGCGTCAGCGAGAGGTCAGGGATCTCCATCCAGGTGTTGCCCCCCCAGCGGACACGTGGCCACCTTCCCCGCACCAGGGCACGGCCGCGGGAGGCAAAGAGGACGGGTCATTACTGAAGGATCCCTTGGAAGGGAGAGAAGAGAAACACCCTTGGTTAAACAGGGACCACTTGGAGCAAAGGGAGGAGACAGAGGCAGCAAAAGACTGTGCCATGGACACACCTCTGGACCTGTCCGATTATGGAAGAGGGAGGGAAAGCCTGAAGCCCACCCGCTGGCACCAGTCCCCCAAGCAGGGTGAAGCTCACAGCCGAGGTCCCGATCCTCAGGCGGGCATGCTGCCGAGAGCAGGAGCTGAGAAATCCCACCTTGCCTCCAGCCAGCGCCTGCACACCACCCCACCCCCTGTGACACATGAGTCTGAGCGGATCAGGGCCAAAGAGGAGGAGGAGGAGAAGGATGTGGCGGCCACACTGGTGAGTACTGGTTGAGCACCGGTGAGTACAGGCTGCTGGTGCGTGTTGGTCCATAATACAGGGAGCTTTAGTATTGTCCTGAGCATGGATCTGACGGCTCTGCAGTGGCCTGTGGTATCATCTGGTCACCCGCGGATAGACTCGCATGTCACAGCGGGTCGACGTTGTTTTTCTCAGCTTCAGCAGAACCCGGGAGCTGGATCATGGAAACCCTGTGTGACGGGCTGGCTGGCAGTGACCTGGCCCAGGGGTTTTGAAAGGGCAAAAGATGATTGGAGGACTTGGGATCCCCTTTCCTCACCAGTCTGGTAATGATTTGGCCCAGGGGTTTTGAAAGGGCAAAAGATGATTGGAGGGCTTGGGATTCCCTTTCAGCACCAATCAGGCCCCAGAGACTCACCCCCCTGTGTCCCGATTGGCCCCTTGGGTCACCTGGAGGGGGATAAAAGGGGTGGCATGGGCTGACTCATGGGAGGGACGAGCAAGGGACAACAAGGAAGGAGCTTCACAGAGCTGGCAAGAGCTGAGCCAGTGGGGTGGGAGCAGCGCCCTGGAAGAGCAGGACCTGCAGATAGCAGTGGGACCCTCAGCAGTGCGGCGTGTGGCCAGCAGGAGAGGCTCCCGCTGGGCTCCAGGATCCCCTGGGAGAGGCTGCAGCCAGCAGGAGAGGCTCCCCTGCTCCAGCAAGGATCTGAGCAGTGACCTGAGGGGTTCCCAGCTCTGCTTCAAGCTCCTCCAGGCAGAGGCCAGGCAGCTCGACGTGAGGCCGGGGCTCCGGGAAGGTCAAGGCCCCTAGCAGGCTGGAGCACTGTCACCAGTGGTGGCTGCATGGCAGTGTTCCTCCTACCATGTGGGAGATCTGGGTTCATGTCCCAGCTGGGGTGAGTGAGTAACAAGAAGCAAATCTTCTTGCAGTGGGAAGGGGCCATTGTGTTCCCTCCAGGTACCAAGGCCCTATATTTCCTTGTCATTTTGCATTTTGTGCCTTTTTATATTTCACCAACCCATATTGTTTATTCTGCTGTTTGTGTTTTATATTTTGTTAACCCTGTTTTTTGTCACTGAGTGTAAGTGTCTATCCTTTGTTGAATCCTGACCCCTCAGGGCATTGTAGTGCCCACTATACCCTCTGATTTATGCCTGTTATGTTCCCAGTATTAAAAGGTATATGGTTACGTCTCCATTGGTGGTCTGGCTCTGCTCTATAGGGGGAGGAGATTCCCTACACCTCCCACAGCACTTTGATTCCTTCAGTTGGAGAGGGGGTACCTCTTGGAGTACCACCCAGGTTACACCTGTAACCTCCCAGGGGTCTCTTGCCAGCTTTAAATCAAGGTGCATGGACAGAGTCTGCCTGAAGGACATGAGGCTGTGTTGCCACAGATATGCAGAACCCTTAGCCTGAGGCTTGGGTGGAGAAAGGTGCTTTTAACTCTCATGTTGGGGGTTTCTTCTTCCCGTGATTAACGTTACGACTGCCTGTGTTGCAGGTCCTTTCCTCATGCGGACATCCCACTAGCAAGTCAGCATCACATGAGCCGGAGCTGGATCCAGAGACCAGGATAAGAACATGTCTTATGGCACAAAAGCAAGAACCAGGTGCGCAGCCAGGTAAAAAGCTCTGTGCAAATGAAACGTCTGAAAAGGCCAGACCAGAGGGTGCCTTGAGCCTTGTGAGCAGGTCTCCCCAGCACCGGTTGCTCAATGGACTGGGCTTCCCAAGCAAACAAGCAATGCTTAAATACCAAGGGGGTGAATTCAAAAGCACCAGGCGCCCCTTGGCAGCTAGTAGGAGTTAGGCACTTACCTCCCTTTTTTTGGAAATCTCTCCCCACGTCTATGCTTGCCCAAGCCGGGGCCTCCACTTGGGCCCCCTACACCCCTATTTAGGTGTCTAGACAAAAGTGGTCTGATTTTCAAAGGCACTGAGCCCCCACACAAGGAAAAGCAGCCTCAGGGCAGCTGCACTTTGTGCCAGTTGCCACAAGAGCCTAGCAGGTGATTTAGGCAACATTTCTGCCCCATACCGAGCAGCAGAAGGGGAGATGGCACAGGAGCCAGGCTGTGGCTCATGGTTGTTGCAGGATTCCCCTGTGCACAGGACTGGAGCAGGTTGTTTCCCCAAGGGCCTTGCTCCAGCAGCATGGAGCGTAAAGACCAGCCCAGCAATGGAGATGTGAATCTGCCCCTCAATTAAGGAACAAACACTCTGGATGCACTGTGGGGTAGGATGTGGAGCCTTTCTCCTGCAGACAAACTTGCCACGGAGCAAGGAGGGAGAACGGCTGCCCAAGATACCCATTGGAGTGGACACGGAGGAAAGCCCAAGCTCCTGGCAGCTTCCGCAAGCTGGTACCCCGAACTGAGCCTGCAGAGGAGGTCTTATCCAGCCACATGTAGCAAGGCTGTCGCCAAGGGACTATTGCAGTTCCCAAAGTAAAAAATCTGTAGTTCACAGAGGAGCAAAGGCACAAGCTTCCAGGGGAGTCAGCAGCATGGTCTTGGCCTCAAGATGTGATGCCGGTGTGTGGCAATGGGGCTGGGGTGATAAGACAGATCCCAGCATGATGGAGCCCTGCCATACACCTTGGGCTCCTAGCATCTGCCGCTGCACATTCCCACTGGCTGTAGGGTGGGTTGAGCGGCAGGGGACTGCTTCTGCCATCTCCTCGTACACCGGTTTCACGTCAGCTTCTTTCCACTATTCTTGCTTCCACCAGCCCAGAAAGTTTTTTCCCCTCCATTTAGGTCACCTATACCCTTCCTCCAGCCATAAGCATGTCCTTCTCCACTGGCATTGCAACCGGATGTTGACCCCTGGTTTCCCTCTGTTTGTAGGAGAGTATCAGTACCTTACTCCATGAATAGAGGGGAGTGCAGCACGTCTCCAGACCAGACATACAGGCTCAGCTGGAAAGTTGAGCTACCCTGGATTAATTGGCTGTGGGCGTGTCAAGGGTTTAGGAGCATTTTTCCAGTGCAAAGAATTGGATTTTTGCATTGGGGGGGGGAAAAGCTGTGGAGGAAGGGAGGGGGCACTGTGTCAATTTTATATATTGAGAAGGTGTAATCAGGACTGAAGAATTTAAACTGATTACTGTCTGGGTGGGGGACAATGCAGAGCTTGCTTTGGTTTTCAATTTAAGGCTGACACCAAGCCCAGAAAAGGGTCCACAGAATACCTTTGCACTGTGCTAGGGATCCTCACCCCACTGGAGTGATAGTGTAAGAGTGCAAGGGCTCCCAAAGGGGTCTGAAACGTGTAAGCCATGTGTGGGGGGAGAGATTCTTGTTTTAAAAAAGAGAAACTGGCCCAGATGAGGACAGCACAGGAGGATGTGCGTCAGGAGCCGGGGTGAGCGTGGTCACATGCCTGGAGGTCTGTGCCCTGTTCTGTACGCTGTGGAAACCTTTTGCTGTGCGGGGACATCGTTTTTGTTGTGAACAAAATTCACTGCTGTGTCTCCGTGGCATGAAATCTTGGGCAGCTTTTCAGGACTTCCACTCGGGCTCATTTCTGTCCTGTTCCTGCAATCCTTGTGCCGGCAAAAGCCTTGCTGGATTAGGAAAAGAGAGGGAGTGCAATGTTCCTCGAGCCGCGGCGGTTAAAGGAGGGGGTGCACTTCGGTACAGCAGGCTCGTCTGACGCTGCCCCTTGGTGTTGCGGTCACTTCTTTTTTCTTCTGGGAATCAGCACTGCCACCCTGCCCACGTGTGTGTATGCACACACATACACATCCATGCATGCATGCACACGCATACACACAGAGATAGGCCTTGCACACCCCTACCCCAGAAAAATTCAACTCCAAGTCCAGTGAGGTATCTCCACCTTGTGGAGGTAAATCACACGTCTTGCTGGCTCAGACTTTCTCCCAGTCCAGACCCACTGGGGCACTCTAGTGAGTCCTAGCAATACAAGGCAGCCATCACTCCAGTTCAGCAGTCCAGTGAAGAGGGATTTCAACTTGTGTATCTCCACTGGACAGCCTGGGCACACTGAAGAGCTTGGGCCCGTGCCTCTGGACTGTCTCAGCCCTTCTTCTCATTTTTATTTTAAGTGTCATGAGATTGCACAGATCTGCTGAGGGCCGGCGACCCTGGCAATGGGGGTGTCTAATGTCTGCAAGGGAGGGGAGGTGGATTGTTACTCCCCAGGATGATCCTGTGACCTTCCTTTCTTGTTTCCTTAGAGGACGATGAAGCGGAGTCTGTGAAGCAGGAGTCGGATGAGCCGGACACGACAGACAGCGAGGTTTGGTCCTTTCCCAGCCCATGGCCAAAAACACCCTGTCTTAGGTTATGTTTGCAGGTTGGGGTTTTTGCTTTTTGAAGTTCTCAGAGTGATTCTGTCAGGAAGGGAGATGTTATGTCCAACAGAAAGTGGAACAATAAGACAATACAAGCACCATCTCCCTCCTATTTCCCCAGGCTAAATGGACTTTGGGAACTCCTCTGGGTTACAGAATGGCCATATACCTGGCCAGGGTCCCACAGGGAGGTGGCAAGTGTTTCTGCCTTGGAGACCCAGTCAATTAACCCTCCCTCCCCCCCTCCTGACTTCCAGCCTGATACTAGCTGATGGAGCTTTGCATTGGAGGGAGCAAGGTTTTCTCAAACTAGAAGAGAAATCCTTGTCTTTATCTCGGGGTGGTAGCAGGAGAACAGGGATAATGGGAAGATGCTTTGCTCTCCCTGGAATAACACAGTAGATCCCGCTGGGGATACCCTGTATGAGAGGCATGGGTGTCCGTGGCAGGACAGGCCCATCAGCAGTGACAACCAGTGTGTGAATGCCATTGCATGGGCTCAGACCTCACACTTGGGGTACTATTAGGGTGATTAGGTTAGTCAACTAGGCCAAGATTTTGCAGAAGGGAGTAGTGTTTCCTGGGCCAGTTCCCAACCTGGGAAACATTTGAGCATCCTCATTTTCAGGGGAGCAACCCAGCATTTTCTAACAATCAGGCCCTTTTCGGGCCTCTCTAGGTGGGCGCCCACAACTGCTCGTCACCTCTGGTAATCCTGGCCCTCCGCTCTACAAGCATTTGAGAAGGGCAAAGGCGTGGGGTTATCACATACATCGCATTCACGAACAATTGAAAACCCACGTGCTGCTGCATAGGGGAGGTCACACACCTGCCTGCCACCGACAGACCCCTCGAAGCCCCGGGAAGCTGGGGAGCCCAATGACCGACCCGCTGTCACTTTGTGTGTAGGTAGTGGCCACGTTGGAGCATGACCCCCACCAGGAAGCTCCGGCTGAAGAAGAGCAGTTCTGCACAAAGGACAAAGCTCAGGTTTTGCAAAAGAAAAGGAAAAGAGGGCAGGATCCCCAAGCCAAAGGTAGGAAGGCAGAGGGCTGCCCTGAGGGACCCAGCTGAAGAAACTGGGTATTTCTCTTTGCCACAGAAAGGGCCAGTGGCGTCAGTCATAAACTTGCCACCCTTTGGCTGCATTGATTCTCCCTGAAGCCCTGTATTAGGGAAACTCCTCCCGCCCTCTTCAGGGCACTGCCCACAGTCAGGGGAGGCTTGTTCAACCACAGCCACCTGCCACCCAGCCCCTGGCCCTGGCTGCCATTCAGCATTTTGTCTACTTCTCTCCTGCTGCCACCTGGTCATCCGAGGGTAACAGTGCAACCTTCGCCATCTCTTTCCCAACCCCCATATTGTTGTTGTTGCTCTCCGAACCCCCCAAATTCTGCAGTATCCATGGCCAGGACTGCCAAACGATGGCACGCTGTTGATGTAGTGGCATTATAATAGTCTCCATCCTATTCCTTGGTTTTCCCGTTGACTTGGATGGGCTCTGAGTCCCTGGAATAGCTGTAGGTGCCAGATCTCATGATCTGGTATCCTAAATGAAATTTTGAATTCAACCTTTTCATTTCCCCAGCCTAGACACATTTGTTTCCACTCAGTGAATTTCATGCTGAGCAAATGTTTGCCCAAGGTGACACAGTTGAGTTTTTCTGGTTCCTGACGATAAGACACATTACACTGTACATTGGTAACTTGTGTATCTCCAGGCAGGGGAGCCTCCTGCTAATGGTTAGCCAAGGCACCTAGGGACAGGAGCGGCTGAGTGAGCACTTCTTAACACCTAAGCTAATAGGTGTCAGTCTTTCCTGTTTGGTTAGCCAACTCCAAGAAACATTGCCTGACAGACTGGCCCAAATGCTCAACAATGAGTTATTGACATTTGGAGAAAGCCTCCATGCAAACTCTGTTGATTTTTAAGCATGGCCGGAGAGGTTTCAGCTTCCTAACAATGGAATGTGTTGTACTGGTATTTCCTATAGGTGAATAAGCAGAAAATTGTTGTTGATAAGGCTAGGTACAAAGCAGCTGCCTATCAAGACTTAAATACTGCCCCCTCCTACATATCCTGAGACTGGCTGCCTTTGTGCAGTCCAAAAATAAAGGGCAGTGTTGACCCATTAGAAAATGGATGGAGGGCTGTCACCAGAGCATAAAAGGGGGCTTGTTGAACAAGCACCAACCACCCCTTACCTTCTCCAGAGACCTGACAGAGCTGAAAATGAAATCTTGATCAAACAGTAAAAGGAGCTCCTCTTGAAAACAAATAGCAGGGCACTGCTGAGGAAGCTGTCACGCCAAGAGCAAGAAGTGGCAATGGTGATGCAGAGTTGGTGGGGATGTGAGAAGGGCCCGGTCTTCTTGCTTTTCATTCCACGAATGTGTGGTCACCTGCAGAACATGGGCAGAGATGCACAAACCTGTAGGAAGGGACAAGAGCCCTTATGTTCGTCTGTCTGGGCATTATTGCCACCACAGGCACTGTTGCCTGTCAGTCAGGCCAGTCCTGGTGTCAGGATTTGGGATTGCACAGGTAGGGGATGCAGACCCATCTTCCCTGTAGAAGTGCCAAGCAACCCACTGCACACGCAGCTGCACAGAACCAGGTCTTTATGCCTGCACTTACCTGCCCTGGGCATGAGTCCAAAGTGACTCTGCACACTTTGTACACACACAAATGCAGGT